ACTCCACCTTCTCGGCTCATCCTCGGAAATACCCCTGAACCCTGTAACTCTACCCCTCATGGGTTCTAACTGGATACTCTCACTCATCACATACTCGAAAGCATAACGCACATATAACAACAAACTCTAGGCTAAGGCATCACAAATCAGGCCACTCTAGTCCTAAGATATGAAATACCTAGCCTGTCTCTAGCATGCAATAATATCTCATAAAGTGCATCATAGATATTTCATAACACAAAAGTAAGGGTATTTTGGGAAATCACCGTTTGGCTCTGGCTGATTGTACACACTGCTCTTTCTTGCTTTCTCTTTGAACTCTTATTCGCTTTTAGAAAACTATTTATTTGAAAACTTTTTCTTACTTCCTCAGTTTGAGTCCAAATTTACCCGAAGGCGCATCCGAATCCCTCAAACCAAGGCTCTGATACCAATTTGTAACACCGTAAATTTCAAGGCAAAATTTTTCATTTAAAGTAATCATTTTATTAGAAGACTTGTTTAAAATCTCATTCATAATTGAATTACAAAACATAGTTCATTTTCACTTGAATAGAAAACCAGGATCCTCCAAAACATAACTCTTTCTCAGGTGTGTACAATCGAGCCTGTGCCATCCCGTGTTATTGAAAGAACCTGAAAACAACATAACACAAAACACTGTAAGCACGTAGCTTAGTGAGTTCCCCAATATACAACTTACGCATATACGCCTTTCCAGGCCCTGACCTTCCGGTCCACAACACAACGCCTTCCGGCCCGTAACATAATCGCCTTCCGGCCCATAACATATACGCCTTCCGGCCCATAACATATTGCCTTCCGGCCCATAAACATACACAACACATAATACATTTATCCTAACACATATAGCACATATATCATATATCATATCCGACCTCTCGGTCACGTAGCATATTGCCTTCCGGCCCATACATATTGCCTTCCAGCCCATATAAACATACATAGCACGCATAGTAATTATCTTACCACATATAGCACGTATATCACATATCATATCCGACCTTCCGGTCACACAGTCAAACCCTTCCGGGTACAGTATAGTGAGAAGACTCACCTCGCGGATACTGAAAGTTAGCAACTCCTGAAATCCCTCGTACTTGATCCGCCGAGCTACAAGTTCCCTATAACATCATATATCTCTTATTAATACTTTTATCTTCCACGTTAACTGACCCTAAGAAATTACACATGGGTCAACTCTGGTCAACGGTCCACGGTCAACTCGACCGGACTCGGCGAGTACTCTGGCGACTCGGCGAGTCTAGTCGACCTCCAATCCTCTAAGGTTTCCCTTCTACTCGTCGAGTATCCTCCTTGACCCGACGAGTTACTCCTAGAAGAATCGCGGGGCCACCCCGACTCCACTCGCCGAGTCTGAGGAACAACTCGACGAGTCCCAGTTATTCTTCAAGCTACTCGCCGAGTCTGCTCATCTGACTCAGCGAGTCCATGCCATGCAGCCGCTCAAACTGCTCCCTAAGGTCGGAACTGCTCCGACCATTCATAGGTCTGGCCTTCCTAGACTGATCCATTATGTATGGTCTCATTTCGGTGCTCATGCTACACCCCAAGACTTATAATTCACATGTTGACCTAAGGCATAAGGATTTCAATCCAAAACCTTCACCAATTCCCGAGATGCCCAGACATGGGGGTATTCTGGACCTCCAAGGGTCCTAATACAAGGTTACAATCGTTTGGGGAACAAGGGTAACATTCAATCTATCCATAAAAGGGTTCCATAAACCCTAATCCTCAAAATGCATCACCATAGCAGAGTATACACGAATTCTTACCTGGATAATGTGTTCTCTGTGTCCCCAATCCTCAGAATGTGACCCCCTTGCTGTTCCTTAGCCAAGCCCTTCTCTTCTTTGCACAACAACTCCTTCAAAATCACCAATGGCCTTTAATCTTGATCTAGATGCACACAATCGATTTAGGGTTCTTCTCAGAAGGCTAAAACGAACAATGAAGGCCAATAAGTCCCCTTTATACGTCCCAAACCCAAACGGCTAGGGTTTTCGCTAAACAGCACAGACTCGCCGAGTCCCTATCTGACTCGTCGAGTCCAGTCGTGAACCCGCGACCAGGTCTGCGATCCTACTCGGCGAGTCTAGCTCCAACTCGCCGAGTCCCCCCTTAAAACACCCCATAAATATAATTTCAACAATACTTGAGATTCCGGGCTGTTACAAAATTTGTGAGACATTCGCTTCACGTAACTTCAAAAGTCATGTAATTGTAACCAGAGTCTCTTGTAGGGAGATTGTGATAGTTGTATATAGATATATATTGGGTCTGACAAACCCACACATGAGCTGCATGCAACAGCTAGACCAACAGGTACGGGGTGACAAATGTCATTTAACTTTGCGATGCCTAAAGAACGTCGTATACAAGACCGATTGGGTCATAGCATGGTTATAATAACTCACATGGGGTATTTACAAAACATAAGATTTTACGGGATTTTCCTTCAATTAAACGAGTTTATGTCGATTTAAACTTGCATAAATTACAATTTATATAGAAAATACTAGTACATTATTTGTCTTGGCATTTAATACTACAATACAATTTTAAAGGAAAATATTGGATTTTTCTAGAACAAACATTACTTTTACAAAGAAAGGATTTCAATATTTCATTCAAAAGCTTATGAACTCACCAACTTAATTGTTGACACTTTTTCAAAACTACTTGTATTCTCAGTAAATCAGTAAATCAGGTAAACAACTGCTTTTGAGGATGGGATGCTAAGGCGTTAAACATGTCATTTTTGTCAACATAATGTAATTGATTCAGAAACATGTAAACTTATACTATGGTGTAACTTTTTCAATTATATTTATGTTGGTTTTGTTTACTTTGAGCACTATTATACTCTTGTTGTGGTACTATACATGAAGTCCTCCACCCCCGAACGTTTCCGCCATCCTTGGTTTGGGGGTGTGACATGATCGGCCTTCATTTTTGATGTTTTGGTGGTATGTGATTTTCCCGATGTCTTTCCCACGGAGTTACGGGTGTGCCTCCTGCGAGGCAAGTGGAGTTTCATATCGATCTGACGCCAGGTGCAACGCCGATAGCTAAGGCACCATACCGTATTGTACCTCCTGAGATGCAAGATTTATCTTCTCAGCTGCAGGAGCTATTAGGAAAGAGGTTACTTCAGCCAAGCAGTTCTGTTTGGGGAGCATCGATCCTTTTTCTCAGAAAGAAGGATGGTTCACACCGAATGTGCATCGCTTAGCGGGACTTGAACAGGTTGACGGTGAAAAACCATTACCCATTGTTGAGGATTGATTATCTTTTTGACCAGCTTCGGTGGGGCATCTTGGTTTTCCAAGATCGATTTGAGGTCCAGCTAACATCAAATGATGGTGCGAAAGGAAGATGTTCATAAGACAGCCTTCCGAACTCGTTATGGGCATTACGATTTCGTGGTGATACCGTTTGGGGTCACCAATGCACCGGCGGCGTTCATGGATCGCATGAACTCGGTGTGCAGGCCTATGTTGGATCGATCGGTGATCATTTTCATCGATGGCATTCTGGTCTATTCGAAGACTGGGGAACAACATGAGGAGAATTTACGAGAGTTTATTGGGGTTTTGAGCATGGAGAGCCTTTACACCAAATTCTCCAAATGTGACTTCTAGTTGCGCGAGGTTCATTTTTTGGGACACCTTGTGAATCAGAATGGTATCTTTGTCAACCCAGCCAATATAGAGGCGGTGATGTACTGGAAAGTGTCGAGATATCCAAATGAGATTCAAAGCATCCTCAGATTGGCGGGTTATTATCGTAGATTCATTAGAAACTTCTCCAAGATTGTTGTTCCTCTCACCAAGTTGACAAGGAAGGATGTTGCTTTTAGTTGGGAGCCCTGAGCAGTAGGCATCATTTGGGACTCTTCGCCAGAGATTGTCTGAGGCGCCGGTACTTTCCCTCCCTGAGGAAGTTGAGGACTTTATAGTCTACTGTAATGCATCCATTGTAGGGTTGGGTGATGTGTTGATGTAGAGGGGGCATGTCATAGCATACGCTTCGAGGCAGCTGAAGCGTCACGGATCGATGTATCCCACGCATGATTTGGATTTGGGGGCAGCGGTTTTTCCCTCAAGATTTGGCGTCACCATCTCTATGGTGTTTAGTGTACCGTCTACACAGACCATAATAGCCAGAGATATCTTATGGATCAACTTAAACTGAATATGAGGAAAAGGAAGTGTTTGGATGTGGTGAAAGACTATAACCATGAGATCTTGTATCACCCAGGGAATGCCAATATCGTGGTTGACGCCTTGAGTCGGAGGGAAGCAAGTGTTTCAATACGGGACATTATTTCCACCTTTGTTGGTGTTGTTTGCATTGAGTTGTGCCATAGTGGCGGTTACGACAGCTGTTACAACAGCTTGGAATGTAGCATAGTCTATCTGCAGGATTGGTTTCACACTGGTGGGCTTGTTATTTCTGCTGGATGACATCTTCTGCTGCATGATGATAAGCATGATCATAAGTAACGATGGTCATTTCCAGCTGTACTCTATAAGCTTCACGTTTTTGCCGTAGGATTCACAATGTTCCGCTCTACATCCTTATGATGTATTTATGATCATAGGTAATTCGTAAATCTTTCACAAATATTAAGTTGTATTCATAGAGTTCATATGTTATTTCGGTTTCGAGGTTCTTGAGTATCTAACGGTTTCAATGGTTTGTTTGTGCACGTAAGGGAAACCCCATATTAAACCACATAGCAATTCCGCTAGAAATAGTCATTTTTTTTAATATAGGAAAATTTTCCTGAAGGGCATACAATCTATAGGAAAATGTACGATCCGAAAGTATTATGACATAATATTAATAGAAACACAATACTAGTAGAAGATACGGCTGATTCTACATACTATAAAACTTATAATAGCAAATAGTAGAGTACGTTCTATCAGTTACGATGACTATGACACTTAATCATCAAGCTGGCGTATCAGGAGTTCAGCCAGTTCATTCACCTCCTGGGTGATTATTTCTTCCCTTTGCTCGGCTCGAATGGCTCTAGTTTCGGCCGCTAAGAGTTGACGCTTGAGATTAGTTATTTCTTTCTCAAGAGAGCGTATGTAGTCTGTATCACTTTCTTGAATCGTGTGCGGGCCTGATAGGGCTTTCGATAGGTGGGGTTTACTAGATGTCTCCTTAACTTTCGTTCCTTCATCTGACTCCTGGTTAGATTCGTCATATTCGTAATCAGTCACCACATACTCTTCCGGTTCCACTCCGGGTCCCACCTCCTGACCCATTGCAAGGCCTCCTTCAAGATTTTCTCCAGGATTGTCATCTAGACCAACCTCAATCTCCCCATAGACTACTAGAGCTAGATAGTAAGGGTCGTCTTGTTATATTCCCTCCATATCGCTTGCGTGGGAGGTGTAGGTATGAGAAGTGTGCGCATTGGGGTATATAAACTACTATTATTCCTAAGATGTTTTAGTTGTTATATAAATTGAGTTGATGTTCTCTTCTTGGTCACAAAGGGGTATGTTTTTAACTTTACTGACCATCGTGATTTCCCCATGGCATGTGATAGTTGTATTCCGGATGAAATGTAGTTGATCAGGCTACATTTTCCCCCTTAATGCAACTATTAACAGTCCCGGCTTAACTGAGATGCCAGGATCATCTTATTTGATTTGGTATCATGTTTTTCTTCCTATATCGCACAAGTAAAGGTGTTTTATTGTTACATTTTATTTGTTTTGTTCAAAGTTATTTAGTCCCTTGTTGAGTTTACAGTTGCATATCAATGTGTGGTTAGATATGTCAGTTCACTATAAACAGAGCTCTGATACCGACCTGTCACACCCCCTGATAGCTTCATTTTAATTACTTCTTTTTATAGTTTATTTTAGCATATTTCATTCATAATTTAGATAATTTCCATGCATATTTTCCTTTTTGTTATTTTATGACTATTTCGGGTACTCTCGAGTCTTGTGAGCATAATTGCAGGTTTTCGGGTCTAGCGGAGCGGGAGTGTTCGGGACATATAGAAGGCGATGAGATTTGGTAGACAAAAATGATGTTGGGCTTGATGGGTAGTGGCGATGATGCATGGAGTGATCTTGATGATTATTTGAAGACTTGGAGAGAAATAAACTTTAAATTTGCAAGATGCGGGGGAATATTCAAGCGTACGTAAATTATTAATCGGGCGAATTCACGAGCTTTGGAGGATTTGGAAAGGTCAAATTGGGCTTAAAATGAAGAAAAACTTGAAGAAAATGGGCTAGGAGGTGATTGGATTCGATCTGGGCCAAGTGGGCTAAGCTATGGAGGCCCAAAACCTCAAAGATGCTACATCCAAGGACCACCCGCGCAACCCACCCGCGCAAGAGCACGCGGGTCGCGCAACCTCCTGCAGGGGCAATTTCGGAAATTCTTCTTTTGAGTTATTTGAGGAAGGTTGGTGCCCATCTTTTGCATACTCTTGGACACCCGATTTTTGAAGATTCTCTCTGGAGTTTTGGAGACTTTTGAAGGCCAAGAACCCTTGAAGAACATCATATTTTTACCTCTTGATTCTTGCTTAATGTTTGGTACAAATTTCTCTAACTTTGTTTCTTTGGGTTTAGCCATGCTTGGCTAAGCTAATCTTGGTTGACTTTTGGTTAATCCTTTGAACTTTTGTTGAATGTTGAAGAATCCATGAACATGTTCTTGAATCTTTATGGAAATGTTTTGTGTTTAAACATCTTATCATTACTTGTATGTTTTAGTTCATGAGTTTAAATGTGTTTGTGGTGATTAGTTGGCTAATTTCTTGATTAAGTAAAGGATCCTTCTTCTTCATTTAATCATCTTGACCTCCCACTCCATTCCTCTTATATAACCTTCCAGCACCCACTTCACCGGAAAATTCAAGATTAGTGGAGTTCTATCGGTCATAATTTCAAGAAACCACCGCCCGACCCCCCGATTTAGGTCCTTTCCGCCCTTTCCTCAGGCATTGAGGACAATGCTTGTTCTTAAGCTTGGGGTGGGGCATTTCATTTTCCTTTAATTTTTTCATGCATTTTTAATTAGGTTGCATAACATTTTAGTTTTAAGCTAATCATCATTCATTTTTTTTTAATTCCAAAAAGATTTTATTTTCTTCTTTTTCCACTTTTTATATTTGCATAACATTTAGCTTAAGACATTAGCATTCATGCATTTTTGTTGTCTGTTTATTCTCACCTCTCTTGGATGCCATGGAACAGGTTCACAGTTATTGTATCATTATTGGTCCAGGATCTTGTTGCTATCTCACCCATCGAATCGGGACCACTAGCTGCAGTTTGGGATTTCATACTTGGGATCAGATGCTGGTAGCTTAAAGGGGTAAGTGATCATGGCCAGGTAGTTCATGAAGAATTATGCATACAATACTAACAACTGTAGGATATACTATAGCAATGGGTGTTCTTAGCCTTGCGGTCACTACCGCGGAGAGGATCACACTTGATCATGTTTGAACTGTTAGGATGAAGCATTGGTGCTTGTCCCCGAGTAGAATCCATATCCGGTCTCTTTACATCACCATATCTTTTTGCGATTTTCTTAGAATTTAGAGAGTCTTTTAGTCCACATTTGGACATTTTCATTATCTTTGAAAAACCACAAGTTTGAAAAGGAGCTTACATTACATCTTTATGCTCCACACATGGTCATTTTCACACTTAGGCCATTCGGATTATATCATTACCCTTTCGGTTCCACCTACACACCTTTGGGAACCAAATTTTGAGTCAAAGGGTTTTCTCATAAAAAAAAAAAAAAAAAAAAAAAAAAAAAAAAAAAAAAAAAAAAAAAAAAAAAAAAAAAAAAAAAAAAAAAAAAACAAAAACAAAAAACAAAATGAAGCATGCAAATTTTCAGTTGCAACTATCTTAGATAGGTGGCCGGTTCAATTATTGAACAAATTTCCCAACATCTTGGTCACCCGGCGTTTGATATTCATTTATTTAGGTATGTTTTATTGTATATAGATCGAGTTGTTTTTCGCAAATTGGTGATGTTAGGGAGACTGTCGAGTCGGATACTACGGGAGGTTTGGGCCAACACCAAGTGAATCGATTCCTACAACGGTGCCCGAGCGATTAAACCTAGTTACACATGAGAGAAACCGGCAAATGTGAGATCAGAGTGTACACTTAAAAAGAGCTCCACCCGAGCCCATCCAGTTTTTTCTCCCTACTACAGATGTTCTTCATTGTATACATGTTCCATTGAGGCTGCGACTGCTCATCCCTCCTTACTCACCTAAAGGAGTTGTCCTGGCTGTGGTTTATGGTTCCATTGTCATCGGATGAAAAAGTTGTGAGATAGCAGCGAAATCAATTCTGACCATGTTGACTAACGTCGAACAGGTTCCATGGTTCTATCCATTCTTTTTATTTCTAGGGTAGTTCATCCCAAGTTCATTTAGTCTTGTCTTACTTGAGGACAAGTAAGGTTTAAGCTTGGGGTGATTTGATAGCTTCATTTTAATTACTTCTTTTTATAGTTTATTTTAGCATATTTCATTCATAATTTAGATAATTTCCATGCATATTTTCCTTTTTGTTATTTTATGACTATTTCGGGTACTCTCGAATCTTGTGAGCATAATTGCAGGTTTTCGGGTCTAGCGGAGCGGGAGTGTTCGGGACGTATAGGAGGCGATGAGATTTGGTAGACAAAAATGATGTTGGGCTTGATGGGTAGTGGCGATGATGCATGGAGTGATCTTGATGATTATTTGAAGACTTGGAGAGAAATAAACTTTAAATTTGCAAGATGCGGGGGAATATTCAAGCGTACGTAAATTATTAATCGGGCGAGTTCACGAGCTTTGGAGGATTTGGAGAGGTCAAATTGGGCTTAAAATGAAGAAAAACTTGAAGAAAATGGGCTAGGAGGTGATTGGATTCGATCTGGGCCAAGTGGGCTAAGCTATGGAGGCCCAAAACCTCAAAGATGCTACATCCAGGACCACCCGCGCAACCCACCCGCGCAAGAGCACGCGGGTCGCGCAACCTCCTGCAGGGGCAATTTCGGAAATTCTTCTTTTGAGCTATTTGAGGAAGGTTGGTGCCCATCTTTTGCATACTCTTGGACATCCGATTTTTGAAGATTCTCTCTGGAGTTTTGGAGACTTTTGAAGGCCAAGAACCCTTGAAGAACATCATATTTTTACCTCTTGATTCTTGCTTAATGTTTGGTACAAATTTCTCTAACTTTGTTTCTTTGGGTTTAGCCATGCTTGGCTAAGCTAATCTTGGTTGACTTTTGGTTAATCCTTTGAACTTTTGTTGAATGTTGAAGAATCCATGAACATGTTCTTGAATCTTTATGGAAATGTTTTGTGTTTTAACATCTTATCATTACTTGTATGTTTTAGTTCATGAGTTTAAATGTGTTTGTGGTGATTAGTTGGCTAATTTCTTGATTAAGTAAAGGATCCTCAAATTAGCAAGCAACAAATGATTTTTGTGTTTTTTGCTTCACACAATCATAAAAACATTTCCTCCAACATGGTGGTGAAAGCATTTGACCCCTCTTGGATTTGGTGACTTTTTGGTTCTTAATGCTAGTTGACTTTCACTAATTACATGCTATTTGGAATTAGTGACTTTGACTAAGGAAATTGTTATGAGCTTCTCTAGCCATTTCAACAATTAAGAAAAGTCTAGGTAATCTCAAGCTCCTTGGATTACTATAGCCAAATTGAGGATTTAAAACAAGTATTGCACCATTGAATTCTAATGATATGTTCATCAAAAGTCAAAGTGAGAAAACTTTAAGTCAACCATCTTTCCCTTATTGATTTTACATCAAATTCTTATTTTTGTTGCAATTGTCTATTTAAATCATAGTTAATTCTAGTTAGCATCAAGTATTCAAAACACCAAAACCCCCCATTTTATTTTTATTGTTATTTTACAAGTATTTTTACAAAGAGATTTTTCATAGAGTTAGAAATTGAACCAATCTCCGTGGATTCGATCCCTTTACCACTATACACTATTTTAGTGTGTAACATTTAGGGTTATTATTTGTGTTGGCCTCGACAACCACCACCCCCGAACCAAACGGCGGAAACGTCTGAGGGCTCGCGTGACTTAAATTGAATATCATCACAATGAATATACATGAAACATAACATAAACATAACCATGCATTAATACATTACAACTGACATTGTTCACATCAAGTACATTGTCTAAATATTACATATACCATAGCACAAATTGTTTGAGAGTTTTCAAAATATAACATC